ACTTGAGCTACCCCCTATGGCATGCATCTCTTGTGTCACTGCGCCGGGTGGTGGTGCAGACAATAAGGGCGCTGATAAGGTGTTGTGAGCTGGGCTGGGATTGCATGGAGGTTTGCAACAATATCCAATTCTGTTTAACATCATCCTTACTTACACAGTAAGTTATATCATGGTATCTGCCCTGAAGTATGCTTGCCCTGGTACCTGAGCTGGCACTGGGGTTCAACACTAATATTCTCAGATGCAGTCCCTCAGCCAGGATGCCAGGTGCTCATCCAACAAGCTCTGTGCCAAATCAGCTGTCCATGGTCAGTGACCAGAGGGATGCTACTCAATGCATGTGCAGAACATGTCTCTTGTCAATGGGACACAATGCTGGATCATATCAGCACCTACTGCAGCAGCATTTATTGCGAACATCATGCTTGAAGCTGACACCCAGCTGACAGGTTGACAGCAGAAAAGATGAAGAGACGGAAGGAAGAAAGCAAGAGGCCATTATCTGATGCATATGAAATGAAATCCGTCTGGATGTGACATCTGTAGGTCAATATTTGACAGACGATTAACCAAATATTTCTTGAAATGACAAAATATTATTTGCTTGTCACAGTGTTCATCAAAGCGTTCCATTGCAGTTACAGCTACAAAGGCAGACAGACACATGCTGAATATCCAGGTGCATTTCCATGCATTTGCTACAATTTACTACCATTATTGTTCTGTAGTTTTAGTTAAATGCTCACTGATTCAGCATTGTGCACAGCAGGGCAAGAACAAGAGTTGCACACTGCCCTCATAAAAGGCTACACCAGCGGCAGTGATCCACTGCTGCTGCTGCTGAAATATACCACCTACCACCTCACAGTACTCACATCCATTGTTTGGTCTCCATAAATCCTCAGAAAACATCAAAGAATATCAGTAAGTGCCATTTTTTCTGCATAAAGAAACTGAATGACATCCCTCTCCTTCATATGTACTTCCATGTCAGATAACATTTGTCAAATTGCCCCTCTGCTGCCATCTGTCACATGGCAATAAAATGGAATAAAACAGTGGTGGGAAGGTTCAGCCTCTACTGCCACATCACTAACATCTACCTCCGTCATCTTAATAAAATAGGAGGCACTACTTTCAGAGCAGACTTCGTGCATTTCTGACAGTTATTACAAATGAATTATATACTTTCATTTAATTCATCCCAGACACCACCAAATAATTCCCATCTTGTGTTAATTACAGCATGTGAATCTATAAATTGAATTGCTCAATGGTCAAGTACAAAGGAATCAGTCACTGCATGGTTTTATAACTTTAAATATTAGTAGGATACTGACTGTCACAGTGTGCCACATTTCAATTCCTTCTTTACTTTCTTTTATGCTTAGAAGGACCAACAGCAAGTTTCTTTTCTATCTTTCATAAGTTAATTACTAGGAGTCTCTCTCTAAAAATTCAAATAGAGAACATATGATAACAACGTACTACGCTATTCACTATTCATCTTACTTCTCCTGCAATTAAATACTAAAATGAGGGACAAAATTCATGTCATGTGGTTTAGTGGGTAATATTTCCATGGGTATGTGGATGGTTGGACGAGATGATCTTGGAGGTCATTTTCGAACTTATATTCATTCTATAATCATAATTTAATGACTAAACCTTTTTTTTAAAAATCATTCATTTGTATAAACTAATTATTGAGCTGAGTCAATATGCAAAATTGACTTCTTAAAGATAAATATCTCACCCGTATATATATGTGTGTGTGTGTATGTGTATGAAATAATTTATGTGTATAAAATAATGGAAGAAAGAAGCATTCAGGTGTATATTTCTATCTGCCACTAAGTAGTTTCAAAATTTTTTCTAGAAATCTGCAAAATCCATTCTGAAGCTTTCCATTGAGAAATTTATTAAGGAAATTGTACTAATATTTCATATCCTTATAGAACACCTTTTAATCTGAGAATCGTAACTGGACTAAAAGTGGGGAAATAAGAAATATGTCATTCTGAGCACACCATAACATATATATCTGAAGTGGACAGCCACTGTAATTTCCAGCTTTTCATAGCTCATTATAACAGAAAAAAAATTATAGATTTCAGAAGTTATTGGATAACTGAATAAAAATGCCTTCTCTATATGTATTACCCATTATGAAAGGTCAACATTGGACTTCACTGTCTTATTTCTTAAGTGGGAAAGCTCTAAAACATTTATGCTTCCTGATGACTAAAACAGTCTTGTAAAATATGTATGCTAAGTCTAACAAAATGACATACCACATTTAACTACAGAATATGACCTGAAATGTGACAGAATATGCTTTTTAAACACAAATAGGCTTAAACACTTTTAAATTAGAATTTTTCCTTTTTTTCACAAGAAAATTACTAAAATTTACTGTATCATTTTTGTATATAGGCATTTCCATGATCTTTGCCTTTTTGGTAAACCGAGCACTTCTTAGTTACAAATTTTATAATGGTAAGTAACACCTTATAGGATGTTTTTATTTATATATGCTCTCATTCATATATACATACATGATATGTACGGTTTAGTGGGGAACCAGTGGTGATAGGTTGATGATTGAAATGGATGATCTTGGAGGTCTTTTCCAACCCTGATGATTCCATGACTCTATATATCATATATATGTATAATATATATATGTATATAAATTTATGAATATGAATATCTAATACACATTTTTATGTTTACAAATGCATACAGATTGATAGAAAGAGAGATCAATTCAGAGATGAACCCTATTACGCAAAAGGAAAATTCAAACAGAAGTTTTAAATGGTGAATTTTTCAACTGGAAATTGCTTTTAACCATTATATTTTGGAATATCTAATGGCTAAGCCTAATAAATAATCTTTATTTTTAAAGAGAAGGATATGGTCCATGACTTAGTTGCCAGGCAACTGTATGGCATTGCAAAACACTTTCTTAAGACATTCTGCTCTGTGGAATGATGGATCCTTGTAGTGGGGGGAGGCCCAGACACACAGTTCTCTGTAAAGCTGATTGTAGAAAGAGTTTTGAAGTATTCTAAATACACCAAAGCACAACAGTGACTAAAATTGTATAAGCTGAAGCTCCTTTATGACCATGTTCTTTGTAACGTCTAATAGCCACAAATCAGAAGAAATGCCAAGATCTGTTTTACTTACATCCCAGCACTGGGATGTACATCTACCCACAATGATGGCTGGAATGGTCACTGATTCACTGAGGGGAAACATACAACTCAGAACAGCAGTGTTTTTTAAGCCATACCAACAAATTACATGAAATATATTCATGCCACATACAGGTAGAAGAAGAATTTATCCATCGTTATTTTTCGTCATTCTGTATCATTATGTGGATTGTTCTAAAAGGAATTGGTACAATGACAAGTAAAGATCTCCTCTGGCATCACTTCTAAGACATCAAACTTATACTGAAAATGAGCAGCAACCAATGTCCTATACAAAGGTAGCCTTTGTAATCTTTGTAATCTTTGAAGTGAACATAACTTATTTCCAAAGCTTAAAGCAAAACATCAGGGTTAATTCTCCCCACCAACACTGTTTCATTTGACTGTCTCACTTGATCTTCACAATCACTTAGAAAAAGGGACATACAGAACTGAAAGCATACAGGCACGCGAATATAAAAAGCTAGACTGTTACTGACTTTTAAGGCACTTTATTTTTCATGTTGTTGGCACCAACCCCAAGATATCTCTTGACACAGCAGCAAAGCGCAGCTATAATAACTACAACTGCTGAATTCCTCAGAAATGGAAATGAATGCCAAGTAGGACAGCTTACCTCATTTCTCTGAGATGTGCTCTTGAAGATATATATTCTTTCCAAAGAGATGCTTGAAACAGCTTTAATGGCCTCTTCACAGTCCATACCTTGGATATTTCAATTTCACATGCATAAAAAGTTCTGTTTTTGACATATTTGGAATTAGGTGCAGACTGTTGCTGTGACAGACTTTTGCTTGCTGAATTTGATGGGTACAATTTGATGATGCTGGTCAAGATCAGCTGTGAAAACCCACATCTCTGTTCTGATTATTATTGTATCTGGGATTTCACTTCTTTTGATGCTTGACATGGATAATCTTTTTGTTGACATTAGTTTGACTTTGCTGAGAAGTACTTTGCCATCATTTAGTCAGCTTGTGAGCTTCTTTTTACAATTCTTGAGATTTCTCCTGGCTGGAAAACCTACCATTCTGCAACATCCACTTCAGAGTAGGGAAGCACGTACAAAACATCAGAGTGAAATGCGTTTCTGATTCAGAAGCAAGGAAAAGCAAACTAATATGAGTATGTTATTTTCAGTCAAGGAACTGTTACAATGTAGTGCTATATGTAGACAGGGAGCTTAGGAGTTACAGGTGCTTAAAACGCTTCATATGCAAAAGGAAAGCATTAAAGCTTTCTATTAGGCAGTGAATTGCTCTTAAGACACTAGTTCTTGAAATGTTTCCCTCTCAATCACGAGGTACATGTATTCTACTTATGATGACATGCACAGCAACGATGACATTCTTGCTTTTCCTTTCTGCTTTCAAATTCCTTGCAATAGGGTACATGACCCATGAGAAACCAGAAGAACCCTAGGAATCATAGAACACGCCTTCTCTTCTCTAAAACACTTTTCTCTGCTGTAGTGTCCTGTAGTGTCATCTGCTGTAGTCAGAATGTACTTTCACAGTTTACAATATATTTATATTGCTGAGGTGAGTGCAACTATGAAGGATGGAAGTGATTTCCATATAGGGTACTAAGAAATTTTAGCTCAGTTTCATTTGAAAAACTTTTTGCTTGGATCCTAAAAACAACTCTTCCTACATCTGACCTTGAACTCTGCATTTCTGCCAACAGTTCAGGGCTCAAAATACAATTAGTGACAGCAGTTAGAAAAAAAAGCAACCAAAGATATTTTATTAAGTAAGCAGATGTGAAATGGTATTACTCAAAGTCAAGTATACATGGAGCCCTATTGTCCCATCTTTACATTTATTCTGATGAGTTGCATTGTACTCTGACTAGGTTTACGTAGATTTTTAACATATATTTTTCTGCATTCACTGTTCCTTACTTCTTGATCTAAAACCTAATCTGACATAAAGGTACATTAAATAGATCAGACTGAGAAAATATTTGGGAATGGCTTTTTTAACAAACTAATTTATAGTACATAATTACTAAGTCAGGTATAATAATAGTTCAAAAACTGGACTGTATTACAAAGCATTTCTTCAAACATTCCTTTTGGATTATTGCTGAAAGGTACTAACTGGTCTATTCTTGACTAGCTAACAAACGTTCATAAAATAGTGAAAAATGCATGCTTTAGAAATCTGGTTTATTCCTGCCTATGGACTAAAAAGAATGTGAAGTTGGAAGCAAGTGATGAACATTTGTAAATGTGCATTAGTGGCATTTACAGTTTCTTTTCTTTTGTGCTAACAGAATCTTCAAAGTTTTTCTCATTTTTTTCAGGTGATTTTTTGTCTTCAGGTTTAGTCCATGAAGGGTTGTGCAACATCTGCTGAGGGTGAAAGCAGCATCAGTGCAAGCATCCTTTGACAGTGGAAAAAACCATGCAACACTAAGTTTTTTTTATTTATATTTTTAAACTTGCTTCTTTTGGTCTCTCAAATGAAAAGCACAGGTGTACAATTCATGTAAGACTTTTTCATTCGTAGGATTACTGATTACAGCTTGGCATAATTGCAGATTCTCCTACTCTTCCCAATGCTGTGGATATGACCATATTAAATTGAGCCATTTGACTACAAGGCTACTCCAGGTCAAGTATGAAACAGTTTTGAAAACTGTTAATAGCCAAAAGCTATCATGAATAGATGAACTGAAATGTGGAAGAGTGAGAGTCTGTGAACTGAGTAAGCAGTTCTGTCTCAAAAGCATTAGAATAGAATGTGTAGAAATACTTCAAGTAACTTAATGCTTTGCAAGAGCTTTTAATAAAAACCCAACAATTTGTTGGAAATTGAATACCTGCAAGCTTGCCTCTGTTTCTGCTGTCTTCAAACGAGATGTTGAATTACTGTAATTCCCCAGACATGTCTTGCCAACCTGTCAATACAGATATCACAGGTAATTACTGTTGTTTTTTTCCTCTAAATAAGTCATTTTGTGTATGCAACAGCAAAGAGAGAAATTTAAGAAGATATGATAACTGAGGTTGGGCATATTGTTGAAATACTGTTCCATCTTGATTAGTTTAGTATGCAATTTTATTAGCTAGACATATTTATATGAAATTCAGGTCATAAAATGTGCAGCTTGAATCATTAAAGCATGCGAAATTTCAGAAGTTATGGTTTTCAGTTTAGCTAGTGAATTATACAGCAGAGTAGGAGAATTTTGCAGCTTGATGTATAAATTATAATAGTGGATCAGCTAAGTGTGCATCTTCATTTAAAAAGATTTTTCAAAAAGGCAATCAAAATTCAGCATTTCCTTGGCTATTAAACTATTCAATTTCATCTGCAAACTGGCAAATGATGCAACTACAAGGGTATCCCATTCTATCTAAATGCTGAATAAGAGTTGTGTTTGTTTCTGAAGTAATCATGTCATTTATCACAGGTAGACAGGAAATCAAGAAAATATTTCCATCTCTACTAATGTGATAAATTCTGTCAAATTCCTATTTCCACGTATGGAAATAGGAGAATATGAGAAACAAAATCACGCTTTCTAATACAACACAAATTCTATCAGATGTTGCAATTTATTTGGTATTTGAATTGTTATTAATCCATGCATAATAATACAGGCCTCTTTCTTTACTGTATATGTGGCAATCTCTTCATTTCTAAAAGGCAATGGTCTACATGTCCGTATAGCAGATTGCTGTTATCTCAGACTGCAATTTGCTAGGTCACAAGATTTTAGCTCTCCACTGAAAGAAGTATGCACTTACCGTAGAATATATTGAGTTGTAAGGGACCTATAAAAACCATCACGTCCAAACCTTAGCTCCACAAAGGACCACTCAAAAATCAGACCATGTATCTGTAAGTGTTGCCCAGATGCTTCTTGAACTAATTGAATGGATATTTTGAATTCTTATATTTCATCTTTTTTCCCCCAAATAATACAACTTTTCCAATTTTTGAAGTTGAACTTTAATCATTGACATATTTACAGAATAGCTGAACTATTACAATGTCATTCTGCTATGGAAATAATGTTATTAGGCAAGTTAGGTCTACATTTTATTCCAGAAAACTGTTTATCAGACCTGCTAAAGAATTTTAACAGAGCAGTATTACTGAAATCACTTCAAGAATTTTATAATGATTTTCATCACTGGAATTCTGTTACGATAATGATTTCTTTATTCTCTCCCATTACTTCCTTGGGAAAGAAAAGGAAGAACACAGAGCTGACAGAGAAAAATGAAGGTAAATGCTGTGGTTGCTTAGAAACATGAATTAATTTTGGTCCAATATTCAGTATTCTTTGTCATGGAATGATTAATGAATGTGCAGTGTTTGTTTACTACAGGAAATTAAGGCAGTAAATAAAAGCACTATCACTTTTACCCATCAGTTACTCTACAAGGACACAGTGAGAAATGTAAGATGAGAAAAGAACAAATAAACATTTTATAACTTGTTGGGTTTTAGCACAACCAAGAAGATAGCTTTAAATGACACATATAGGAAATATTTGAAATGAAAAAGAGACAAAGGACAAAGTTGTCTTTATGAATCAGAAAAGGCTCCCAGGAAATTTATATTGGTCACACATTGGCACAAGCTGCCCAGGGAGGTGGTGGAGTCACTGTCCCTGGAGATGTTCCAGATGTGACACTGAGGGACGTGGTCAGTAAGCATGGTGTGGGTGAGCTGGGTTTGGACTTGGGGATCTCTAGCGGTCTTTTCTGGCCTTAGTGATTCTATGATTCTATGATTCTGGGAAGAGAGAAAATAAATATATCTTTAACAGTGAAACTGAAGTTAAGATTTTATGGTGTTAGACAGACTATATGTTTTGAAAGAAACAAGATGTGCTATATACTATATTCTACCCAATTCTGGCTATCACAAGTCGTACATGACAGCAAAGATGTCAGCAGTGTCTAAATTAAATGAGCTAATTTCATTTGGCCTGTCCCTATCCTGTCGGTAAACAGCATTTCATTTGTACTCATTCCAGTGTATACTATGTTAATTATAATGGACAAGCATAAAGCCATGAAGAAAACCTGCAGTACGTTTACACATTTGAGACAACTGGAAGAATGTTTAGCAGCTGCAAAACTTCGGGTAAACACACAAAAAAACAAATAAGGCTAAAAGTACAAGAAAAGTTCAAATGGATTCTCAAGACTGAAATTTTATCTAAGTGATAGTGTTCATAATCCAAGTGGAGTTAGTTCCAGCTTCAGAACATTAGATTTTATTCTTTCTTCTCCTTTATTAGTAAGATCTTGAGATGTAATGTTTCCTTAAACATGAAGAAGATGTAATGTTTCTTTAGACATAAAGTTTTGACAGCAAATTATGCACTCTTGCAGATAGTGATAGTATGCTATTAATCTTTGCCCCTGTAGAGCGTGTGGCAGAGGAGAAGTCTGTTTATAACTGAAGAAAAAAAATAAATAATAAATAAATAAATAAAGAAGAAATAAAGATAATGAAGAAATAAATAAATAAAACAATAAATGTATACATAAATGTGTAATTTATTTAGCTTATTTGTTAGGCACTCTATCACCTGGATCTGCTCCCCAGTCTTTTCCTTGTACTGTGACATATTGCTGTGATTGCTACCAGCAAGCCACATCTCATCTCCATAGGAGATGGTTGTGTGTGGATGAAAGTGCTCAGCAGTTCACTCAAGAACTACTGTGATTGATATTTTTGATGCTATCTTCCATACTTTCACAAGCTAGAACTGTGGATCCTACCCCACTGTGGATGAGATTGCCTGTGTTCACTATTACATCATCACTTAAGTAAATCACATGGATAATCACCTAAGGTTTTGATGTTTTCATAGCATCTAGATTAAAACCTGATTGAACTCAACTTACATCCTGAGAATCGCACTCCTGCACACTCTGGTTTTCCTCCTTTCTTGAGGCCACGTGCAGACTCTCTTTCTCTGCTGAGGCATTTTGCTGGATATTGAAAAAAAAAAGAAAGAAAAGGAAAATTAAACCAACAGTTAATACAGACAAAACTTCATAAGAGTCAGTTTAGAAAATCAGGAAATTACAAAGATCAGATACTGCAAACAGATAACTACTAAACGCACTGCATTTTCCATAAGTTTTATAGAAAGGATTGTTTAATGTTCATGTTTTTGAATATTTAAAGGGAGGTGGGAGGCAAATGGATGAGGCCAGGCTCTTGGTGCTGCGTAGTGACACAATAAGGAGCAGTGGCCTAAAACTTGAACACAGGAAGTTCCATACAAAAATATGGGAAGACTTCTTTATGGTAAGGGTGATGAAGCACCAGAACAGGATGCCCAGAGAGGCTACAGAGTCTCCTTCTGTGGATATATGCAAGATCCATCTCAACGCCTACCGGCGTTAGTAGCAGAGCAACCTGCTACTAACAAAGAGCAACCTGTTAGTAACAAAGAACAGTGCTTGATAACAATGAACAACTTAAATAAAATTTTCTCTTCCATCAATGTTTAAATGGGGGGAAGAAAGAGAAGTGTAAAGGAGAAAAAAAAAATTTCCAAACTCATATTTCTGTGCTTCTTGTGAAATAATGGATTATCATTTCATAACTGGTCTTTCATCTGTACTGAGTTATTTGCCTGTTTGGGCAGCAATCGTAGCACAGTTCTGCAAACTTAAATTTCCTCTTATTGAATAAGATGGCTATACATGCATTGAATGATTCACAGCACAGGTACAGCACACATTAACCTGATTTCTTGACTACCTACAGCAGTAAATCTATACAGGAGGCTAGGAAAACCAGTCAGCTTGAACCTTTATTAACAGGAGAAAATAAACACCTCTGCCTAGATATCAGATTTCTCAGCATGTCACACTACAAAATGAGGGAAGTCTAAGAGATTTAGGGGAGACTGCCACCAAGGAAGCATTTTTCCCATGTCTTGCTTTCAAATACTACTGCTAATAAACAAAATAAAAATATTTCCCATTCTCATCTGATAACACTACAATCTGAGTGTAATGCTTTATCCTAGAAACTTCATTTGTTGTATGATTTCTACTTGACAGGCAGCACATCATCCAAGCTACTGCACAACAATCATCTCCAAATACTTTTCATATTGTTACCCTATGCCAACATTGATCTGTATATCTTGAGATCTAGATTGAAATGCCATGACACTTCTTGCATGGGTCCAAGGTTACCAGAACCATAAAAACAAAAAGGAACAGAAGATGGGAAGGAGTTTTGCCAGGTCCAGATCAGTTCCTACAGATTTGAGTTCTGTTCTTACAGTCAGAATGGCATAGAACATTCTCACATTTTATGCAGGAATGTTTAATCAATAACATTTCAAAGCTGAGATTGACTTCTTACACCAATCAAGGGAAAAAAAAAATCAATATTAAAATAAAACACCAATACTTTTGAAGGTTTATAAGTTTGCTGATTATGCAGGAAGTTTTCAATAAGACTTTGCAAACAAAAGTCTTCTTGAAAGAATAACAACTCTTTATTATTAAAAGAAGTCTCTCTCTCATAATAAGAAAAGAATATCCTATTCTCTGCCGGAATGAAGTCCATTTACTAGATTGACAGCTAACCTAATGAAAATGCCACCAAGTACTCTGGAGCAAATTGATTTGGAAACAGTTTCTGAATTCCTTCCCAATTTGTCCAGAGCTTTTTTGAACTCTCCCCAAAACTTATCTATCCAGGATTTCACATGTGAGCATTTTTTAAAGGACCAGCAGTCCTTTAACCTTTTTTTCTTGGAAATATTTTTAGTTCCAAAATCTTCCTGGTGAGACTTCACAAACCTGACTAGAAAATGAAATAAGTTGAAATAACTTGAAATAAGTTACATTTTTACAATGCATTATGCACACATGCTTGCTCATGGAACCCACTGGTGCTCGCTTGGTTTGTGTTCAAAATTTCAGAATACTTATACCTGAAAAGCAAGCCAAACTGATCAGTTCTTTCAGTTCTCTTCCAAAGTCTGTACTGGAAGAAGCTACAGAGCCTGTCCCTGCTACAAGCCTTTGGCATTCATTCACTTATACTTTGTACATTCTTTTACTTCCAATGTCTTACAAATGTTCTTCTCAAAGCCTGTATTTTTATTGTACTAGCCTCACTTTATGGCTAAAGAAGACCAGAAAGTTAAATCAACAGAATCCCACCTTCTATAATCTTTTGACTTTGAAACACAGCTGAATTCTTTCCTATTGCAGAGATGATCACAGAATGGCTTGGGTTCGAAGATGGTTTCAACCCTCTGCATGATCATGTTATCGAATCCTGCATCTTTCCTCATGGCTTTTCAGCATGACTGTACCTCTCCTTCTCTAGTCAACATTTGGTGATAGGAGATGTCACAGTTACACTGTCAGGTCTACTCGACAGATGATTTGCCCACACAAACCAGCACATTTATGTCCTGTAACTTCAATCATCAGGTCATTCTTTTCCACAACAGGGGTTTCTATTGATATTCAATTTTCATGTTAAAGAAGTACTTCAATTAAGGATACTCATAGGATCTAATAAAATAATTGTACAGCATTTTGAATGTAAGAAAAACAAACTAAGCAAATTCCTACTGAGCAGAGAGAGGTTTATAATAACTTAATAAAATAAATAAATCAGTTGCATAAGAACCAAGATAGTTTTTCTACAGTGACATACACCATTATGACAAGCATATCCATAGTCGGGACTTTCAGTCCAGGAATCATTGGAGTTTTTCCAGAAACAGCTTTGCACTGGCCCAAACATACAAAATAACACAGAGAAAGCCCGCAAGCTAGCAGGCATGCCTGCTCTACCTGGCTATACTTCATTACATTAGACTGGTGCCTGGAGCAAGATCAGCAGCAGAGCCCTCCAGGCTGGGGGTGTTGGCATTCACCTCCTTCCAGAAAGGCTGCTAACCACAAAAACTAGAAACATGTAAAACAACCAATGCCAGAGCTGTGATAGAATCTTAGAACCATGAAGGTTGGAAGAAATCTCTAAGATCCCCAAGTTCAACCCCATACCATCTCTGCCATGCCCACTAACCATATCCCTAAGAACCATATCTCCATGTTACATGAGCACTCCAGGAATGGTGACTCTACCATCTTCCCGGACAGCCTGTGCCGATGCAGTACCACTCCTCAATTTTTCCCTGACATCCAACCCGAACTCTGGAAACCAAGGAATTCATCTGCAAACCACTGGCACGCACAGGCCAGTTATTCAAGAAAAGATGTTGATTCTATCATCTTTCCCTTCCTCCTCTTTTTAGTTCCAACCTTTGCAATTACAAAAGTAGAGTCACTGTTTGCATTGTGCAGTAGAATTTGTACTTGCTCTCCTAGCTCTATGAATTTCAGACATTTTAAAGGGGTAATCTTTTAAATCTCTCCACAACACAAATCACAGATAAATACATATGATTGCCTGCAAACAAAAATAAAGCAAATCACTGTAACACATTTTTTAATATCCTGATTATAAATTCTTTCACAGTTTAACTCACACACAGAAATACATGAAAAGTCCAATTCTAATAACAAAACATTGCACTATGTATTACTATGATGGTAATGGGTTACTGCATATGCATACATATATTTGTGTACATCTGTATACATATTTAAAAGAGCTAACTAACTTTTCTCTACCAAATAGTCAATACTATTCACTAGTAAGAGGAGAGACACAGTTCACTTTTCTTTTCTACTCATTTCCACATCACAACTACAGAGTTATGTTTACATAGGGCAATTCACCTCAAAGGACTGCAAATCCAATGGCATACAAGATATTTAAATTTCTACATATTGTTTCTTAAACAAACAGAATTCCCTTTTTTTTTTGTTTTCACTATACTTAAACATCTTTGAGGTGGAGAATATCTGCTTTCTCATATACATTATGCCAACACCGAACATAACAAGTTTTCACAAAGAATCCAGGAAAAACTCAGTTCCAATGAAATTGAAAATTGTAAGCACAACTTTAACATGGACAATGAAGTAACATTTTCCTTTCTTCACTTTTCATGAGTATTTGTGTTAGTTATAAAGGAATTTCTCAGAGATGAATGTTTATGATAAGCTCACATGGCTGAACATCCATCAGAAGGAGAGGATTTATTCTTTCAAATAGATCTTCGAGATGATATGAGTTATATTTAGATGGGCTTATTTCCTGAAGCATCCTTTTCAGAACATTAGTACGAGTGCACTATTTTCCCTCACATATGCACCTGCCTCTCTTAGTATTATATTATCTCGTGTACAATATAGGCATTCTGGCATTTTGGTATGGGATTCTTTTTCTCTTGAAAAACTACTCTAGAAGAAGAAAAAAAAACTTCATAAATCTTATTGCAAAGAGCTAGGGAAGGGATCCTGAACATTTCTAGCATCATTTGGAGCATTTCCTAGTACATCACAATTTTCCCAGTTAAAGTGAGTCTCCTCAGGAAAATAGTACCTGAAACAGGCATGAAAGAGGCACAGTAGTTGAAAATAATGACAGTTTACCTTCCTCTGGTAATTTACAAAATATACTTGCATTTTCAGAATGGAATGAAAGTCCTTTACCAATGTACAGCAAACTAGAGTTTAAGCTGATGTTGAAATACCTCCAATGGTAGAGCAAAGCCCTTCTACAGAAATTGATGGGTAGCTATTCTAGGGCATCTAAATAGGCAATAGAGGACTGTTCAAACAGTCACCAAAATACAATGCTACCTGCATATGAAAAGAAGCCATATCTGTCCACTGTGTTATTGTGCTCTGAATTCCATTGTTCTTTTTCTAGCACAGCTCATTTTGAGAGCATTGCATATTTCATAATTTAACCAAATGCTTTCCAGTAGAACTTTCAACTGACATTTTTCTGTTGCCCAACCTGTACCAATTGCATTTTCTTATGTTTCCACACTCAGTTTAGGAAAAGAAAGAAAACAAAAAACTCTCAT